CATTCTATCCTTCTTGAAATTTAACGAGTAAAAGAAAAAGTAGTGTATTATGGCACTCCATTTACATTTCATTTAATCCTTAGACACTTAGATACTTAGATAATTAAACCTACGTAATGACCAAGACTGAGTCAACTCAGGTTTCCCACAGTTTTCTTTGAAACGCAGCATTGTCTCTAAAACATTTCAGACACTTAAAAAAATGACTACCGAAGACTTTTATTGCCATTATTATATATTGCTAATTTGATCGGAACAAAAAATTAAAATAAAACAATCACGCATGCGGACACCTAAGTTATTCTCGCTTAGACATTTAAAAGACAACGGCTCTCGATTAATGACTCTCTTCAAATTTAAAACTTTACAATTACATTCATCAAAGTATTGTTCTATCGATTCTAGACTCAAAGATACGAAATGTTTATTACTTAACTTAGTCGCCGTCAGATCAAACGCTTCGGACGATACATCGCGGTCGCGGAGCGCGCGTTTCCACGATTGGACTCTCGTCGTTTACTGCGGTACAGAAAATAAATATTTTCCGAGTGCGATTTCTTTTTCGTGGCGCGATGATTGAAATAACACTCCCGCGGCAGTGTTTTCCTTCGTTTAGTCGATACGTCACCGCCGCCGCGGCGGACGCGTATTTTTGGAGCCGCGCGTCGGCGCGCGAGATACCGGCTCGAGCGCGGAGGACTCCCGTCCGAATTGACTATTAACAAGATTGTTATTAATAGCGAATCGCGTCGATTCGCGCTAATAAAAATGCCACGGCGTGTCGCTTTCAACGACGCCGCGAATGTTTTTTCAAAGAGCGCGTAAACACGGACGGTGAGTAAAAACGACGCCAAGTGATACCGATGACGCGTGGAATCAGCCAAGATTAACGCCAAGATATACCGGCGTTCGCTGATCGTGTCTTAAACTTCGCGAGCGACATGTGAGCCGGATCTTTTTCACTCGTGCACGTCAAGCTCGTGCTAGGAAAATATTGATCGAGCATCGAGCATTCGTGATCTGACAGACAGTTTATGTGGCTGTAATCTCCTCTTTTTTTTTTTTCCTTGCACGCCAAATGGTTCTTAGAGCGCAACAATTTTTGCACGTTGTGTCACTCCTAACACTGTGAAATTCCCAGCACAACGTAATTCTTCAATGGAAGTCCTAAAAGACGTCCTACATCCTTTGCATACATATAACTGGTGTAGTCGAGTTTAACTTTCAGTACAGGGCATTTAATGGTATAACAGAGTACTCGGGCAATCTTGAGCCTCGAGTTCTCTGTTATACTGCTAAATCCTTTAATAGTTTAGCTAAACTGTTATTACAAGTACAAAAAGCATCGTCTATAGAAAAATCTTCAGCATAAGACGTTTGTTGTATCTATATTAAAATGATTTTTGGGTCGTAATTGACATTTTCTAAATTATCTATTT